TATATATTATTTTTAAATACCCAAAGTTGGTGCATTAGATGGCCATTCTTTTATACACATTACAACAGACACAAATTCCGAACTATTCAACGGCTTTCCAGAACATAATGCTGAAATAGCTGCCAATGCTAAATTTAAATGAGATGAGTAACTATCCCAATTATTATCATTTGCATTAACTTGTCCCATGTATGTCAGAAGAAATTTCAGGAGAACTTTACAGCACTTGCTAACTGGAGATAACTCATTTTTTTGAACTATGAAAAATAAATATATATACTTATTTTAAACTATTCATAAATAAATAAAATTTAGGTTAGTATTACATAAATTACAATGACGACCAATGTAATTAGCAGCTAATGTGAAAAAATAGAAGTAAAATTTGTTCTCATTGACATCATGTTCACTCAAACATTTTTCACTAAAAAAAAAAAAGATATATTAAAGCTAATATTTTAACATTATATTTAAATGAATTATTAAAAGTAGAGTAACAATTAATTATAAGTACTTTTATATTATTATATACAAACCTTTGATCAATAAATTTAAGCAAAGTATATAAATTGAGCTTTGCATTGGAACCTGTATCGTAAAAAACAAATTTTACAGACGGCCAATCCAAATCAATTTTAGAAGCCATTTTGGGTGTATTGTATCCGAAACAACTACACAGTAATATTCATTTTGGTTTAGGACTTATAACCTGTAAAAGGCATAATTTATTAAACAATGCTAATTAATACATTAATAATTGTTTATTTATATGTAATTAAAATTGATGCAAATTTTTAATTAAAACAGTGACCAATAGTCAACACAGATATAAATCAATGAAATACAATTAATGACTGTAATTTTAAACTGTTATCACAACAATACATGTACGTAAAACAATGGCATGGATTTACTATAAATGCGATAAATTGAATTAGTATAAAACCGTGATGACCTGGATCACTTGAAATAATGGTACGCCATCAAATATGACGATAATTAGGAACTGTATGTATAAATATCAGTACGCATATATATGTACACAGTACTAATAGTAAAACGCTAATAAAATGACTTGGCAAGTTAATAATAATACTACTATCATTGTTGTTTAAACTGAAATACGCATTGGACTTTAAGCGATTCCGTCCCAGAATACTTACAGATGATTAGTCTTATACACTGCTCGACAAACAACAACTTCACATGGTAAATTTCAAAAATTAAGTACAACTTTATATATTATTATTTACTAGTCTAATTTATTGAAAAGTTTGATCAAGAATACACCAGACACAGACGCGAATTTTGGAAAATCAAGACCAACTGATTTGTGATTTTAGTATTTTACATTCCAGCCCTCAACTTTGGTATAGAGTTTCAGTATGGTACCTAGGTACATATAAAATTTGATAATAGTGATTACAAAACCAGATACGAATCTTGCTCCAAACGACATACATTTACCTAGCTATCATTACCACGGACATTTTAAAATTCAAGAATATTTTTGTCATTAGACCGATATTTGCACAGCTAATTAATAGGTTGTCAAACCTCAGACAAATACAAATGATAAATGTCGTGATAAAATAATTCTAAAAACCAGGAAAGTTGCTGTATACTGTATAATACCTAGGTTTCAAAATTTTGAGTGACCTCGTCCATACTCCATAGATAGTACATTTGTAAGTCACTACATTATAGAAGTTCCTGTARAAATTTCAAAAATGTACCTTTACTGAATACTGCCCCCTAGGACCTTACCTTAACGATTTAAAATGTTTGTTTCTTAATGTTTTTTTCACGCTCAAGGGGATCGGTGGCGGACAATTATTTTACCAATATTTTGTCCATCACACTTATCGGCCTAGTAATGCAAATAATGCAAAATACTTTTTAAAACTGATTTTAATTTATTATTATGTCTAGGTACCTATTACCTGAAATCGGAAAGTCTACTTTTCTAGTATGTTTTTTAAGGATATTAGGGATATTGAATTTATACATACTACATGGTGGATTGAAACGCGTGTAAACTTAATAATTATTACCATAGACATTTAAACTATAGTTTATAATTTTATGTCTCAAACCTGGTTATTACCTTTGCAGATCATTTTATACATTATACTTCTCTTCTTTTCCTTCTCCTTATCTCCCAACTATTTGAGGTCGGCCATCTTGGTCCTCAATTTTCACTTACTACGATCCTTATTAGCCTCCTCCTCACAAACTTATACATTGTACTGCAATACACAAATAATACTATTTATATATTTTATAGTACCTATAACAAAGAATATTATAATGATCTAAGCGTGACATTCATGGTCAGTGACTTTATCTATTCTATTCKGATAATAATTTGATCTATTCTTAACCAAAGCAGGTGGGTTTTTTTAATTACGTATATAGATATATATRTATATTACAATGCTGGGCATCAACCACGGACTAAGATATATAAGTCCGTGGCATTAACGAATTAACAAGTTATAACTTATAAGTTAATCTAATTTTAACTGTTCGCTGTTTTAATTAACTTCACTAATTTGTATCTACGTTAACTTAAAATCAACTTCTACTTTTTTAATATTACCAATAATTTAGTTAATTTTGAATTTTCGTTTTATCTAGAATATATTTTAGCCTATATAATAACGGTTCGTCGATTTAAATTCGTAGAATATTAGAAAATATTGTTGGAAATAAAGAAGATGTTTTCGTAATTATTTTTATAAATAACAACTAATATGTTAATTATACTAATAAAATTATAATTTATAATTTATAATATAGATATAACATTGTAACATTTAGTCGCCTGTATGACCATATTATTATATAAGATATATCAATAGCTCACAAGTCACGTTTAATAACACCAGGCTTGTTATACCTACTCATTAATTATTATTATAATAATAATTATTATTACTTAATATTTATTAATATTTTATTTTATCATTTTATAATTGCCGATTATCATGAATTGTGACCATTTTATTACAAAAATACCTACTTACCTACCTATAAATAGTAGTGTATTATACACTTGTCTTGTACAATTGTACATTCATCGTTCATAATATAGTTATCATTCCTAAAGGCTAAAACTTCTTGTTGACAATTATTTGCGAGATTATTTGTCTAATAAAAATATTAAATCTCTTTTAGACTTACCAAATCCCTTTAAAGAACTAAGAAGTATATTTAAAATACAACACTGTCGTCCCTTCATCTGCACACGTTGAGCGACTCTTTGGTGCTGGAGGACAGTTTGCTCAACAAAAAAAGAGGTTCAATGACAGATCAAAATTTTGAAATAACTCTGTTATTGAAATTTAATAACTACTTTGAATAAACCAGCAGAATTTAGACACTAATTTTTTTATACCTTATTTTCAAATGTTTGAGTTATTTATTTTTGAATTGTTATAAACAATAAAGTAAACACATTTAAACTAAAATAAAATCAATCCAGACTCCAGAGTGAAATATAAATATTAAATAGAGTTATAAAATGATACAGCTTTACAACAGTTTTTAAATTATATACATCATATTAATATAATATGCATATATTATATTCATAGATATAATATTACCTACTATATACAAGTGATTTTCACTTATTTTAAAACCTTTTCAATGATTTTTTTTTTTATTAAGTTAACAAAATTTGTTAACTTAACTTTAAACTTAATTGATTTATTAAAAATATATTAACTTAACTGTTAATTTAATTGAACAAAAAATATTTAACTTAACTTACCAAGTTAAAAAAATCATTAACTTGCCCAGCCTTGTATATATATAACTACAGCCTGTATTGTATTAACACGAACATCCTTCGACTTGTGTAACTTGTGAATTGTGATATAAAAATATTCTTAATCTAAGTTTCTATGATGCAAACCCTCCAAGGTAAAACAAATTTATAAATTATCAATATTTATATATAATATATTCTTTAATTTTGACATTTGTTTATTTCTGGGCCTATAACAAATTAAAAGAAAAATAATTTTAAAAGGAATAATATAATCTATGAATAACCCACATGTGCAATTAATAAAGCTCGAACATCTGTTTGAGAAAAAAAATTTAATTTGAATTAATTATTATGACAAAATCCTTAAACCGAGTAACAAGCTCGATATTAGAGTTATACATTAAAGATTGAAACATAATTGGATTTTTATAAGATAAAAGTACAGACATTGAGACATTTTATTATAATATACAGTAATATTGTAATTATATTGTAAATTTGTAACTATATTCTACTATATTATAGCATAGATTAAATATACTGTATAGGAAAAATGGAAAATATACTAGTATACTTGTAATTAGTAATTTTAATCTATGATTGGTACCTACTTGATAGTTTATCATAAGAACACTACGAGTCTACGATAACTTTGATTGCAAGATTAGTTTAGATTACCCCCTTTGTGGAAACACTGAAAACTGCGTCCCCCACACTAGATTACTGAGAATATAAGTACCACAAGCCAGCAATCAATCACCCATTCGTCGTATACTCGTGTCTTGTATCGCCAATATTAATTAATAAATTCAGCACTTGGCACTTGCCACTCACCACCAGTTCATATGTTTTGTGTATAGGTATTGTCGTACGATCTGTTTTCATATAATTTGTCATTTGTGTCTACAGTTATACTCTACATCATAGACCTATATAAACTATAGCCAGTGCTTAGAGAGAAAAGTGTGTAATCAAGCATCTCAAGCATCTCGAAACACCTACTAAACCTAAAATATTCAAGTCTAATTTGTTAGAGACTCTTAGCCCATAGGACGGACTTAAGTTAAGACTTGCGGCACCTTGCAAATAGCGACATTACATCCACGGTCAACAAAGTACACAGTCTGTTGAAATAACATACGTCGATAACCGAACCACGGTTGATGGGATGGTAGATTTAGGTTATGTTCACGGTAAATACGAGTAGTGGAAAAATATTTTAAATCGTCAAGCCCGCACAGTGGCGCACACAGCACACTGCACGGTGCTCAAGTGCAATGTGTCTTCAATAAGTAATTAGTTTTAAATAGTAAATACCTGTTGGCTGTTAAATACGGTTAACTATTTTTACACATATTTTATAGCGTTTGGTTTTAGTTTTACTAGTTCACGATAAGCGTTGACAATATGACGTCCTCCGAGACGTTAGAGGTTGCTTTCGTGTCTGACGGCACTTCAGGAGCTACTGTATGGGACACGACCAACGGCACAATGTTGAAAACTTACAGGCATACAGCGTCTATAGGACAAAACTGTATGAGCCTGTTAGGAAACGACTATCTTATAGCTGCAGACAAGGGACCGCTGATTCAAACTTGGCCGATTAACAGTCAAGAACGAACACACCAGGTGCGCATGTTATGTGGTGGAAAAATTAACTCACTGGCCGCAAGTCCTGATGGGCTGTTTATTGCAGTGGCAATTAGTGAGAAATTACAGGTTTGGATGGTAAGTATCATTTTGGAGAATTCTTCAATAACCATATCAAATGATAACTGTTTCATTGAACTCATTGATTAGAGTATCTGCTCCAACGCATATTCAATATCCAATTAAAATATAATTTACTATTATAGCATAGAACAATTATAGTCTACAAGTGTAAGGAACCCATCAATGTTTCAGCATTTTACTATTTGAATTATATTTAACTAATGATCTAAATATCTACTAAGTTTAAAAGTTAACACATTTAATATGGTTAATAACTTTTTTTAATATCCATTTAAATTTCTAAAAAAGTAACTTCACCGCCCTAATGTATCTACAGTAAACATTTTTAATATTATGGTCCAATTTTATCATAATTCTCTACTAAAATTAAAATAATACTTTAATGTTTGTGTTTAGGCTTGTTCTGGAAGATTATTGACAACCGTAAGTCGACATTTTCAACCAATAACTATTATTAAGTTTTCTTCAGATGGATCATATTTAGTCACTGGTAATCTAATTATTTTATTTTACAATACAAATTTTAAAATTTTATTATAATAATGGTTTTWAAGGTGGTGAAGATGGTCTTGTTTGTGYATGGTCATTAGCTAAATTGATCAACACATCTCAATCTTCCATGCCACATACATTTTTTTCTGGTGACCAAACCAACCAATCAGCACCCAATCACATATTTTCTGATCATTCTGTAAGAATAACTGGAGTGTATATTGGTAATTGCACAAGATGTATACGCATTTTTACTACTTCAGTTGATAAAACATGCAAGGTAAATAACATGCTTGTATTGTCATTAATGTTGTAACCTAGGTATCATTTTTTTNGACGTGCAACAAACACTACTAGTCCAAATGTCTGTGGCAAACGTATTTTGGTTTGTGAAGGAGCTGTAAGGTCAAAACTAAAGCTTTTTGATAGAAAATAAAATTTCTATTCAGGGTGCTACTTACCATTAAATTTTTTTTATTATTATATTTTTTTTTATAGATTTACGATCTTTTAACTGGTGTTATGTTATTGTCAATTGCATTTGATATAATTCCATCTAGCCTTGCTGTTGACTCAGTAGAAACTGCTGTTTATATTGGTACTACAGCTGGTCCTATACGGTCTTTTGATCTTACCTCACCACCAAGAACCCGTGAATGTTATGTATCAGACAAAGAAAGTGGTATCAAATTTATTGGCCACACCAAAGCTGTGACTGCTTTAAGTGTGTCATTATTTTGTGATACACTAGTATCTGGGTCTACAGATTGTACAATAAGAACATGGCATGTAGCAAGTCGTCAATGTTTACGAACAATTCAATTAAAAGAGCCTGTTATTAATATGTTTTTAACTTTGATACCCCGCCAGTTAACTGCAAATGAATTAGAACCCAGTATTATGTTAAAGAGTTTTAAAAAAACAGAAGAACAGGAAAATGAACATTTTGTTGAAGTATATTGTTATAATGATCTTTTTGAAGAAGAAAATAATACTTTTAGATACAAAGAAGATACTAGTATACGTGAAGAATTAGAAAAAACTAAAACAATCAATGCCAGAATGTATGAATTTGTTATTAATTCTATATTGAAAGAGAATGATGCAAATCCAAAAGAGGTGTATATCAAAAATTTTAGTGTTTTTAAATACAATTTACAAATGATTTATATTGATCTAATATTACCTATATTTATTTTCAGGATGTAGATATTAGTTCTTTTTCATTTGTTGATTTAGAATTTAATGGAGATAAGAATGGACTAGATAGTGAAAATATTACAAATGCTGATGAATCCACATCAACAAGAAAAAAGAAAAGAGGAAGAAAAAAAAGTAAAAAAAATTTTAATGACTCAAATTTAAGTAATATTTATAAGTATTCATAAATTTGTAATTTTTAATGTTCAATTATAATTGTTATTTTTTAAATTTCATAAAAACTTATTATTTCTACTATAAACTTTAATGACATCTTGCATTTATTTAAATAATWATAAATGTTAAAAATATTCATAAATTAGTAAATTACATGAAAATTTCAAGGTTCTTAAAAGTTTGTTTGCATTTTTCAGCTCATGTATAGATTAAATAATATTTACCAGGATAAACTTGTAACTTTCTTATATAATTCAATATATATTAAAAATTWAAAATGTTACCTATTAATTTTCAAAAGTATTCATACTGTACACTTAGGCAATCTTTATGGTTTAGGCGACCAAAGGTATTTTTAAAAAATACTATAAAACAGTGATAAATTAACACACACCATGTTAACTACTTCACCAAAAAAATAAAGTTAACTAAGATTCTAATAAAATGATAGTGATGAATGCTAATATTAGTAAAATTATAAATGATAATTTATCAATTTTACACTATTGAGTATTGAGTATTAAATGATAAAATTAATATTTTTATAATAATAAAATAAAATTTAATTAGTAAAGTTAATTTTATTAGCATTTAATGGAATTTAATTTTAAATATTTATTTGCTATACATATAATATATATTGTAAGTGCATGTTTGAACTCAAAATGAGTGAAAATAATTTTACAGAAATAATAAAACAATATTCATTGTCTGTTTTGACAGATGAATGTACATACAAATTAATAAAAATAGTATCTATGAGTATACAAATATTAGTAATTTCATGACTAAATAATACAAGTATGAAATTGATCTAAAAAAATATTATCACAGAAACAATGTTTTTTACAACAATTTTGAAAAAATGTTTTACTTATATTAGACCTAATTGTTAATTTTTTTGTCAAATAAAAAATATTTAAATCAATTATTTAAACGATATATTTTCAATCACTCCTGGACGGTACTGCGGTATTTGTCTAAATTCCATCCACGGAAATATTTTCTAAGGCATTCATTAAAATGACGTTCCATAAAGTCCATCATAAGTTTACATTTAATATCATTAGACTGCTAATTAAAAAAATTATACAAATTAAATTATTATGAGATACAACATTTTTTTTCTTACCTGAGATATGTGACGGAATGTACTGAATACCAATCGAAAGTCCCGAACGACTGCTTGTACATTTTCATATTTCTTATTAATCATTTTACATCTAATTGGCTCAAATAGCTGTATCCTAACCACGTTTTGATAAGTCGTCTCCTTAAAACAAAATTACTATATTAATTGTACAATTGTTCAATTTTTCTTATAAAAAAAAATTAACTCACGTATAAATCTGGTTCCTTACTAAACTCCTCTTTGGGTATATCTTGCATTTCTCTTATCATTTTTTGAAATTTATATCGAACTTTTTTATCTACTTCTCTGGCCAAAAAATTCCACATTCTGTCTGTTGTATCATCTGGAATTGGAGCTCCACTAGCCCTGTCAGACATTTTTTCAAATACTGGATGTACATTATTGATTAACCCTTCTTCACTTTCTTGTGATGACTGTATACTATCAGATGATCTAGTTGCTAAAATATTATGGTTAATAGCATTGTTGACCAACTTCTTTGCATCTTTTTGTGCTTCTAGCCATTTTTTCTCGTCATCTTCCTTCACTTCCACTAGTTTAGCTTCAGGTTTTGGCTGTGGATTAGTAACAAACTGAGAAGGTGGAAATGGTGCATTATGTACTGGATATGGTGGCTTCTGGTAATTATTTTGCCATGGAGTTGGGGGTTGTTGAAGGTATTGATAATACTGTGGTTGATTCATGCGCACTTGGTTTGGATATTGTTGGTAAGGGGGCTGATATGGAGGACGGTACTGCATTGGACAGTATGGTGGTCGATTTATTTGTGGAGTTTGAAATGATCCTTGATAATTATAGCTGTTCATATAATTCTGATTTTGATAGTTATAATTTACGTATGGCTGATTGTTGTAATCTGGTGATGGAGGTTGGTATGTGGGCTGTTGTTGTATTGGTGGAACAAGAGGTGTTATTGGATTTTGCATTACATGAACCTCATGTTTATCATTGGGCACAATTTTTTTTAATTGAGTGATTGTTGATAATGCCTTATTGAACATTCTATCACCATTTTTTCCCTTGACTTTTAGTGATGCATTCGGATCTTTAGCACGACAGTGTACATTTATATCATTAATCAACTGTTCCATAATCTTGTATGAGTGTTTCCACCAATGTTGGTCTACATTGACATTCATTCCAAACATATCTATCATGGTAATGCTGAAATTAATAAATACGGCAACCAGGGTGTGCACGTTACCTTTATCAACACGGCTGGCATCTATAGATGTCAACAACTGTTTAACAATATTATTTGAATCTACAGTTTGTACCCACATGGGCAAGTCTCTGTTCACATCAAGAGCATCATCAACAGTCTTACAGCCTGCCCATAATAATCTTTTAGTTTCTTCAAAACATGTGGACGATGAATTGTTTTCAAAATCAAATAATACAGATGACGGTGAGCGACTTAAAGTTGGCCGAGATGATATAGATGATGTGCTGTAAAACAAACAATATRTATTTTTAGTTGTAATTGGTAGGTAATATTAATTAGTTACTTATGATAAATTATGATATTATAATATTACCTGCTATAGTTTTTATAACTTTTTTGAATAGCTGATGTTATGTTGATAGTTTTATTTGCTGTTGTTCGAAATGAACGACTTTTATTTGATTTTTTATTTTTTTTACTATTTGTAGCACATTGCATTAGTTTTATATATCCGTTTAATGAACGGTAATCAGCAGTAGTTTTATTTGGTATAACTTCTTGATCAGACATCATTAAACGATTGTAAATGTTCATCATAAACTCTAATCGACCTTTCATGTCAGGTGAAACAACATTTACATTGTATTTTGTCATGATTATTAAGTAGATCAATCTATGGACAAAAAAGTTCAATATATTACAATAATTGAATTTTGTGTATCAAGAAAATAAGATGTTTTTTTTTTTATTTGAAGAACAACTGATTCAAGACTCAAGTGAAACATTATTACATAATTATAACATTWTATATATATTGTTTGTTTTCTCTAAGTTATTTAGGTATTGAAAAACTAATATTTCAAGTTTTTTTTTTTTTATACAGCTTTTCTAGTGTACCTACATGTACAAATTATTAAATCTAAAAACAGTAGCGGTTTATAGGCGGAAATTGAGAGGGGGCTATTATTTAGTCCCCTCAAATAAACTAAGTGATCACTGGTTACTCTCACTACTGGGTATAGATAGTAAAAATAACCTTTGATTGAAATATAATTGGATGCAAATAGCAACGGTGAAAGGCTTCACAGGGGACAGAGCCCTAGACAATTTTTAGGTACACATAAAATTAAATAAAGTATTAAACGTACACTCTTCAATATTTATTTATGTTAAATTTTGATAGTAGGGAATGTAAATTATATTTACAATATATGTGTTTTCGACATTATTGACTTCTTCATCTTTTCTGAAATTTATCAAAACCTTGAAAATGTATACATTATTTTTCAGTTAAAAATGCATAAAAAAGTTGTCTTGATAAATATATTAAAATTGACGAATAATTATTATTCATTTGAATTTAAAATTTTTACGAAATTGAATATTCAACAGTAATAATTAACAAATTTCAATTTATCGATTTTTCATATTTTATTGTAATTCAAAAACGAATAAGTTCGTCATTAAATCCCATGAAAGGCACAGGGTCCTGGGAAGCTTCRCCTTCTGTCCAGCCCTTCCACCTGCGCTGATTGCAAATAAAAGTATGTATGTAAAATCGATGATTTATAAAGCTTAAATATTTTATCTTCTTATCTCTTTAAAGTAATAGTATACAAATTCTAATAATATAATAATACACAAACATTAAGGATATGCATGATGTCTAAAATAATTACACTTAGGTTTTTCATTGTATTCAAGGTACGATGATTTTTACAAGCGTAGAAAGCGACCTTGATATGTCATAAAGTATTTTTAAATATCAGCCTCTCTAAAACTATAATAAATTTCCGCCTATGTATAYCTATAGCGATGTCGTGCGGTATCTTCCCCGACTTTAGTTGGCATATTTACACGATAAGCTGTCATCATTTCATCAACCGATAAAATATTTAATATTATGTTGAATGTATGGAAATTTAAGAACCTACGTAAGTTAGTGCAAACTGACAATAACCTATCAYGACTTGATAATAATTCTTAACTAATAATTAATAAGTATACTATACAAACTAATAGCAATCTTAGATTTAGTTMKAAGTATTTATTTTTGTAAAATTTGAAGTATGATTCTTTTAACGGTACCTACAAAAAAAAAGCAAAATTCCAGAGTATAAAATCTAGGTAGGGAGTATTAGGTATGTGTTTTTACTTTTTACTTGAACACCTYTTATAATACGACACGTCGACACCAATATAATTTTTACTATAGTAATTACGTAAAATTTATAAAAAGTAGAATACTACGTAATTTGTAGTGTTTAGAGGTTTAGACTACAGAATAGATATTATTTATTTATTTTTAATACGACAGTCCATACTAGATAACRAGCAACAAAAAATGACAATTTAACTCAATTAAATATTATAACTAAATTAGGGACCTAATATAGGAAACAATATTAAAATTAATTTTTACATTTTATGACACACGAGTGCCAAATTTATTCCGATGCTTAAAMGTAACAAATAAATCTCTAATTAATAAACTCACCTATTAAATGTTGAATACAGTTTCGATTTAACAAACTAATTACATTTTACTATTTTAGACGAGGTTAATAATGAAATGGTAAAAGTAAAATGGAATCTTTTTATTCTTTTTATAACCATGGAACTGATAGCTGTCAAACTAGTGCAACAGGCTTCATCAGATGACCAAACAATCGTTGAGTAGCCAATCATCAAAGAAATTATAAAAATATTCCAAATCGAATTAAAATAGATTTTTTATTTTCAAGAGTATAATAAGAATGACGCAAAAAACTGCGCGAACAAAGAATGGATTAAATGATAATTTATTGATATTATTTGTCAACGTAAAATAAAAAAAATTATTTACGTTAGATTATAGAATAAGCAAGTACTACTCTACTCTACTCTACTCTACTCTACTCTACTATAGTTAACCGAGCATTTTTTTTTAAACTTACTTTTGTGTAAACAATTTAAGAATGATGTTGTTATCAGAATTTTGCTGTCGGATATGATTTCATGTTTCATGGATTTTTCATCGCCTGGAATTCGGAATTTATTAGATGCGTCGGTGCATGATCATTCTTATCGTAAAAAATTTATTTTATCGGGAATTATTTTTAATTTTCTTCTTTTTAAATGATATAGAAATTGATTACAAATGTGCAGAAACAATATCGTATTTTAAAAGTTACAATCGCTTAAAATTAAGGATTTTTGTATAGGCAGGCTATTTATTAATTTAATTTATGCGTAGCCGTGTAGGTATAAGAGGTGTGTAATACGTATTCCCCTCGATGTCTTGATGACTTGATTAACTACGAAAATCCAGTTTATAGTATAGTCAGTAAATACTATCGGCTATCGTCATMATGATCTGGAGTTTCATTGATTTATCGAAAGATAAAGGACGGGTAACCTAAATTTATAGCAAATTGAAGTAGAAAACTGAATTTCGGGACTCTGGAGGCAATTTATATAAAAGTTATCGACCATTTTGACTTGGGGAGGCAAGCTAGACGCTCAACTCAACAGATCTCCTCTCGCCAATATTAAACAATTTTAAATTATAATAGCTATGAATTATGACTTGTGATAAATATAGTACTTATAGCTCCCTAGTCCCTATACGACTGCCGGTTCCGGTCGACGAAATCGAGAAAATCCTATGGAATTCATCTAATAAGATGGTGAGGGGGATACTCAATTCTCATCAACTCCCTCCCACCACAACAACCGGAGTGAAAATAGCCTACCTATATAGTGAAATAGTGGAGAACGTTTCATTATTGGAGGAACGGAACGGAGGTAGGTATACCAAAAATTACTAAATTAAAAATGCATTTTATATACATTTTGGGGACGCAATAATATTTACCAACACCGTAATATAGRTACCTAGAACATATATCACTATGACACTATATTATATTAAAACTTACACCTTACTTTATATTTCTCCTATTTTCCATTTAATCTTTTAATCTAACAAGATAAATTCAATAACAAATCAAAACATGGTTGTAACTCTAAATTTTCGCAAACTAAAACAGCGCGTAATTTACTAATTATCTTTTATTATTATAGGTACCTATGTTCTTTATAAATATATATATTTAACTGAACGTTTATTAGGAAAGTAACATTCCCTCCCCCTAAACCCCTAACGAACTTATATGACATAAAACATACGCATGGTTTATGGCATTCTATTAGATATATTTAAATATTTACAAATTTAAGAAATTATTTTAAAGTATGCAGTTATCGAGAATTTAGATATTTAGGTTTATTTTTATTTGAAAGTTCCTTCTTATAAACATTTGTCAAAAATTTAATTTCTGAAATTTAACATTGCAATATTGATACTGTGCATCATCATGAATATAAATCAAACGGTACCTACCTATTAATTGAATCAGGTCATCACAATACAATAGCCTTACAAATATCAGATATACAAAAATAAAATGTCTAGAATATATACACATCAATTCATCCAGTTAGTATTAGGTACACTTACTACACTTACACACTAGTAGCAATAAAATATTATTATGCTAACAAAATCATACTGTATAGAGATAAGAGAGTAAGAGACTAATGACTAGTAACCACGGCTAAATACTTAGCATTTTTTTTTTATTTTTACAAGTATTTAGCCATGCAACTTACTTTAATATAATATTATAATATTTATAACCATGGTTAAATACATTTATACAGCCATAATTTAATAATTATAACATCTCAATTTAAGGTTGAACAGACAAGTGACTACAGTAGTTAAAGGTATATAAACCATTTAGCTTCACACTTTTTGACATCCGACGTTTTCATTATATGTTTATTATAAAGTCGCTAACAGCTGACAGATGTCTATAAAAAACACAAAATGTCTTTTTCTCGAACACCTACAATATAGGTACTTAGATTAATCAATTGTACTTAATATATTCATCTTTCATATTCATTCTTAATATTATAATACATTATTGTGCCCGTGTAGGGTCCATTGTTCTACACGTTATCACCGCCATTTCTTCGACTCGTTGGCCTTTTATATTGGAATATACGAAGGTTATATCACTTATATTCCTTTTTACGGAGTAAGCCCATAACATATAGACACGAGTAACAATATTGCATATCATTATAACTATTAACATTCATACATAATATAAATATACATCATACACGTACAAACGAATGTTATCGGCGCGTGAGTGTGCATATTATTGTGTATTGTTACTCATATTATAGGTACCTACCTATATTATTGTATTTTTTTGGTGCCAGTTTTTATCTGCAGTGATAAAAAAAAAAATGTTCGATTCATTTTGATACAGGCACCTTTATAACCTACATATACGATATACCCATAAAAATTATGCTCGTGYACCCGGTGCACGTATACGGCGCGTTTAAAGCTTTATTCTTAGAATTAGAAGATATTCGTATCTCCCTAGTTGACCAATGTTCCTCCCAGTTATTTTTTATTTGTAGTTAAATTACAYAGTTAATGACGAGGAATGATTCAAAGTTTATCGGGAGGATATTGATGATTTATTGCCTTATTGGTTTATACAGACTTAGGTATAGGTATTTAGGTACTATATAAAACAAACAACAATTATAATATTTTATTTTCTAAAGTTTTACCTATTTAACAATTATTGTCGGTAATTATTAATCCTTAATTAGGTATAAAAAATAGTATGTTGTATATTAACGTGCAATAGTTTTTAATTTCTTATTTGAAAAACCGAAGTTTAAATTTTGTATCACCACAGGAGGCTTCTTATGTAATTCAAATAAAATTTCAAGGATTTGAAAAATTTGTCTTTATATATATTTAAAAATTTATAAAATCAGAATTTGAATAAATTCATTATTAAAGAAAAAAAAATGGAGGTTAAGAATGCTTATTGCTTGGTGGAGTCACCCTGTAGGTACTCGTGCACGTACCTGTATATACAGAGTTCCTCAGGCCTTATTTTRGTTGAATTTATTTTTCTTGTATGAGTTTATTTTTAAATTTCAAAAGTCAATATTTAAATATTTAGCTGCGGACTTGATACACTCGTATTTTGAGTTGGGYGATACGTAGGTATGTAAAATATAATCAATACACTTGGTAAACGAACGAAYATCATATATATTATGTTGTATTTTATACTGAACTTTGAATTACAATTCAAATTTTGTGTATATATGTACCTAATGTCCTAATAGTGATTTGCTGTCATCAAATATGTATAATCGAATTATTATCGTATAGATAATAGAAACTCTGAAAATGACCGTGTGAGCGTTCAGAGCGTTGGCATCATTATCGGTAAAATCACTGTGCAAAATTGGACACCTATATATACAGTATGAATATCCAATAAATATTTGTTTTTAAAAAACTTGTAAATTTTTTTATATGGTGAAAAAAACCAAGGGCACTCGTTGGCGAGTTTGACAGGGATGACAGGGATGCCACTGGATTGCTGAATAGTGAATATATTCAATTCCTATAGTCATCCCAGCTATAGAATGCGTTGGAAACCATTCTAAAGGCATTGCAATTAAGCTCACACATCGATGTGTTTTTTATGTTTTATGCTTAATCGTAATGCGAGAAAGGCACAGAAAAGTAGGTGTTTAAAATATTAATCTTGTTTTACTTAAGAAATCATTTTTTTTTTCGAAGAAGATCAGACTTTTTTTCAAATCGACCGATATGAATCGCGCACAAAAGAGCACACTGTATATAACGTAACACTTATTTATATACTTTTCGGAAGTCCGTTGTTCGACTTGCCATATTATTATAACATAAATTGCTATCATAATTTTTTTCCGACATGAAGGTGTTCAAATTTTTACAGGCCTAGAAGTCCCCAGCTGTAGTATGGTTGTGGTGTAGAGACCGGTAGGGGGGGGGGCACCCTAACCTCGAGGTCTATCCGGCGGCACAGGAATGTGCGCAGTCACACGGCACATATTAAAATGCGAGGGAGAAAACATCAACAACCGTAATAATAATAATAATGATAACAATAATATATTATAATAAAAATAGTAGCTTGAAACGGCGATATAAAAATGATTAATAATATTATAATATCACGTAGGAACGCGCCTCGCCAACCATACGAGTCGCCGCGACCGACGGGTGGGGTGGCGGCGGCGGCTGAGGCCAATTGGCCTAATTGGGCTTCCGGGAGAGTCGCAAATCACACCGGTCAACGTGCACACACGGTTCACAGCAGCGACGCGTATTCCGACGCCGCCGGCCTTTGAGTGCGCCGTCGCCCGCGATTGCAGATAATAATAATAATAATAATAATAATAGTATAATAATAATAATAATAATATCATACTCGCGGCGTAGACTCGACGCTGCCCCGGGGCCCTTGTGTTGCGCTCGACCGTCCCGACACGCACCATGTCCTGCACCGTCACGTCCGTCGCTTACGCCGCGATAGCGTTGATCGCCGTCTCGATCGTTTTCAACACACACGCCGGTAAGCGTATACCTATAATATTATTAAAAAAGTTTCTAAACTATATTACAACAACATAATACATTATATTATTATTRTATAGTATTTTATATTGAACCTATTTTTCGTTTTATTTCACGTTCGTCGTATTTGAAGAGGATTATGGCACTATATAGGTACATGCTCGAGGGAGAGAGGCAGAACTTTATACCAACTTTTTGAGCATTATACCTATTAGAAGTATTATACAAATATATATATATTTATATTTTTTAATTAATTTTATCGGKAGAACGATGATAAATWTATTGTGTTGCCAATATATTATTTCAATGGAGTGAAAAAAACAATCCGCTTACAAAATTCTGGGCTAAGMGGGGTTCTATAGYGTTTTTTTCGAAACTTTTTTTCTTCAAATATTCCTAATAGGTTTTCAATAATGGCACATGTTTTAAGCTAGAAATTATTCTGATACGAGTTATATAAAGAATGAGAAAGCAAAAAGGTCTGTGTTTTTGAACAAACCTTAAAAATTCTCTCCTGTAAAATAAGATATTTTGACATTGAACCTTTTTACTCTCAGTCCACGAAATGTGTTTTTAGAATTTTTCGTTAGAATATAATARTAATATATTAATATCACAAGTCGAAAACTTCTCTACGAAAATATGCAAATTGATAAATTCAAGAGAGACATAATAGTTGTTCACTTGGTCTGGCGTACAAATATTTTAAAATTTTAAATACGACATCGTGTGTTCATGACTATAATACAATATACACTGGGTACCTATAAATTGTTTTGGCGTAATGGAGGTGTTAGAGGCAAGAAACAACAATTTTTGAATAAAAACTTACCCAGGGCAAATGGGTAGTCTGTTGAGCATTATATTTCGTATTATAGTTTAATAGTATAGTTTTATTTAAGCTTTATCCATAACTATATATTATGTCATAACATTACCTCATCTTATTTTATTTCTTTGCATCTTTATTCTCTATATGGCTAAATAGTATATATATTTTGCATAAAGACATAATTTGCATAGAAGATAGTMATTTCCTTTTTGTGTTGCTCATTATTAATATTATTATCATATAGGAGATAAATAACTATTAGGCATGTATGGTTTTCTTGTGTTAATAAAGATATAAAATGTAAACAATTGTGACTTTTATAAATTTGGGAATAAATATTTGTATGATGGGTAAGTATTGTTTTTCATTATATATAGAGTGCGGTATCCATTTTTTCGTTTTCCCATTAGATAAATACATTAACTTTATCGGGAAAACGAAATACACAATGTTACGCCTTAAAAAGACTAAATATTATAGCTGCTTTTGATGTATATTTTAATATACTAAAGTTAAGTTTTTTTCTATAAATTTACCTCTATATTAAGTTTACTATASTAATTAAATTATTTTTATGATTATTATGTACTTCATGAATTAAACTGAGAATAAATCGAATATTTTAATTTGTATAAGATAATTATATTAAAATGGAATATAATAAATATGTTGACACAAGTTTTTATAGAATTCCAATAGACATTGTACATTTCAATAATGTTCACCCAATCGTCACGGATTTAATCAATAAAAAAATATAATAGATATGAATAAATAGGATATAGAACATATAGAATAAGTTATTTAATTTAATAATCAAGCTATTCAAAAAAATAATAACTACAATCAGGCCTTGATAACAAAAAATAAGATTCTATAACTATATCGATGTGAATATTTGCATTTTTGTTTCTATAGTCAAGGCAGAAACTGAGATACGGTGTTATGTATGCAACAGTCATAATGACACGGATTGTGCTCAAGAAAWACTTCCAGATCGTTTTAAAACCGATTGTTCAAAATTAAATATAGGTGTTTCGGAGAATAGTCGCAAAAATTATACCCTCTGCAGAAAGATCATACAAACAATCGAGCCGGAGGTCAACGGATGTAAGTATTAATTGCCAGACTCCTACATCGGACCTTATTTCATGAAGGGGATATAATATTATATTGCTTAAATTAAAATTAAAGTGATAATAGCGAAATAACGAATTGCAATGTTAAAAAGGATACTATTCTGAAATGAATACATAGGGTTAATCAACATTCCAAATGTGAATAGTTATAGGTATAATTTTTAGTTGTAGGTGCCCTGTTCTAACTATTTATTTCGACATAATAATTGTTAAATGTTAATACACCAATTTTTATAAAAACTCTATTTAATTAAATGTTTTTAAATAAATATAATAAATAATAGTAATATTTTTATATTTAAATTAGCTATTTTATACGGCTCCTCCCAATATCGAATGTTTAAGATTATTGATATAACACACATTTTTAAAGACACGTGATTTTGAAATTAGATATTAAAACGCTTATTTTGTAATCTAATAATAAAATGTTAACAGCTTGGAAGTTAGCCAACGACGTAAAACCAACACAAATAATTCATAGTTCATATATAACATTTTTACAGTGGAATCGTTTTTAAAATCGTTCTACAAGATCTTAATATATTGTGTTAAGTAAAACTAAATTAAATAAATAGTATATTAAACTAAATATACTAAATATACTATATATTTAATTAATGGCCTAATTATTTTTACTTTTATATAGTAGGTTGTAGGTAGGTTAGGTTGTATGTGCAATGATTCTTTTAAAGGTAAACATTTATTTTATTGAAATGTTACAATATATAGGTAAGATAATTAGTAACCTACAAATTAAAAAAAATTAAATTTTAACTTTTTTGAATTGCAACATATTTTTTAGTTATATATTTTTATAGGCTAAATAGAATATTATTTTTTTTTTTTTGAGATTTTGAATACCATACAAATACATTCATCGGTACGATCAGAATCTAAATTTAAATTTTTAACTTAAGTTAGTTAGTTATATAACTTTCAGTGCCGTAACTAGGCATTGGCAAGGTGGGCGGTGGCCAAGGGCGCAGTTTAAAATGATCGCGCTAGGGGCGCAATTTTTATTTCATATAAATACTAAAAATKCATTATTAATTTATAACATTGGTTGCCAAGGGCGCACATAAAGCTAGTTRCGGCACTGATAACTTTTAACTTATAATTAGGCATTTCAATTTTATATGTTTGATGGACTGGAATCACTCTAGTGGCGCCGATGGCTGTTTCATATGGCATTGCATAAAAATAATTACTGAGATAGGTACCACCACTACTTTTTTCTCAAATAGACAGTCTAACTAAAATATGAGATACCAAACAATCATCAATTACTTAAATCCAAATAMATATAACTTATGCATATTAGAGTTTCTAGACCATAGTAACCATAGTGCACAGGGGGATCCAGTGGCGTAACTGATTAAAAAACTAATGTAGAAAAATAATTTACTCTCCAAAATCAAAAATATATTCATTTCCTAATTGTTTTGATTTTACACTAGTCTTAGAACTTATTTTATGGCTTAGAAACAAATCGTAGGAACTCTTTTCTTTAAGTAATATTAAGTAGGTGAATAAGAGTTCATAAAAAAAGGTGCTATAAAATGTTTGGAAAAAGTAATGTGATGATAATCCTGTAATCATAATTCATAAAATAATATTGAATTGGGTTATTTTTGTAACCAAGAAAATTCGATAATGTTTACAATACRTCAACCATATAGGTTATATTTTAAAATTTGGGGAGAAATATATTAAATTATTATGAAAATACTGAATTGACTGCTCCGTTGCTAAAGGAGGATGAGRCAAGTGATTCCCATAATTATGTAACAGAAGTACTTACAAAATATTGATTCACCTAAAGTTTTCAACTCATCAAAAATTCAAATATTTTTAAATTATTAACTGCTCGTTTAGAATAAATACGGGTTTTACAAATTGAAATTCTCAGAAAAACATTTTTAGTTTGAAATGAAATATGAAATTAAAAATGTTTACCATCAACCGAAAACGTAAATACCTCAGTGTTAAAGATAAAAAAAAATAATAAGGAATTTATTTTGTTTATAAATGTTAGGTAATAAAATTCAAAAGGTATTTTTAAAAACATTAAAACTTTTCGAAAAAATGAATCAGCCTATTTATATAAATCTTTCAAAAATTGGCTATACTAAGTTACTATTTAAATGATTGGATACTTTATAAGTTATAACTTTAATATTTGTATTAGGTAGTAGGTATACGTGCACTTTTAACGTTTATCATTAATGCATTATAATTTATAGATACAAATATTAAAAATATATTATTTAGCTTTGCAAATCATAACTAATCGCAGTCCTTAAATGATAGATTAAATAATATTAATCGTCATAGGTGTCATACAATTTAATATATTATTAATGATATAGGTGGTATAGATTACGGGAAGGTAGTTTATTAATCTGAGCTATGTGATTTTTTTTATTTATATAATTTTCAATTTCAAATATTTTTTTCATTTATCGCATAGTAAAACACTTGTAAGCAACTAAAAAAAAAATAGAAATAATTTATATTTTTGTAAAACGTTATGTTAACAACACTCGTTTTAAATGAAATTAATTTTATGTTATACTTAAATACTCGACAAGCCTATGATATTCAACACACTTGGCTGACGTTATTTAAATTATTAAAGAGGGAGTCTGAACTCTGAATTGAGTGCACTGACACTTCAACAGTCAACACTTATTGTAATACGGCCTGTTGTAGCACGTGGCTACTATACATAAAAGGTAAAGTTTATTATCGTGTATCTGAAAGTCAAAACCCAAAGTCTTCTCTTTCTTTTAGCTCTTTACGACTGTATTATATAATACTTTATTGTAACTTTGTTCGTATATGGTTATATTTTATTTGTACTAACGTTTTTCTTACGTGGTTGTAATGTAAACATATGAATTTTAAGATATTATTCAAATAACATTTATAATATAACTTATAATATAATTTATATTAGAGAATGGGCTTGACAAAAAAAAAAAAAATAAATAAATATCTATGCATGGTAATTTTTATTAAGCCTTATATTATTGGCCTTAATTCAAAATATTTTGAAAAAAGAGCAGGTACACAAAATATTTCTATTATTTAATCATTATTAATGGATAATTTTAATAATAATAATTTTATTTATTTGATGATACTAATCTTTGTTTTTTTTTTTTGCTACAGTGCCATCAGATAAAAATCGGATCATTAGGACATGTGGCTGGGACGCTTCAAATTACAATAATAAATGTTACCATCGATCCGGATTTGGTGGTAAACAGGACGTGTGCACTTGTATGACAGATTATTGTAACTCAGCGCAAAAGACATACATAGCTTTTGCCACTGTAGTGGCAGCAACATTCGCTATCCTTATTTTGTAGAAACGAGAATATTTTTCTCAAACTCGAGATAAAAATTTCTGATTTGAGCATGGAGCCATGGATACATGTATTTTTTATTACTGTTAAGAAGTCTTTGAATAAAACCAGCATCTGGTACCTCCATGACAAAAAATAAACTTTGAAAATAAAAAACACTGTTTTTATTAGTTGAAACTTTTATAGAATACAATATTATAAGTTAGTTAGGGCATCTCACTATTTTTCTATATTAAAATATTTTATAAATATATGTTTTCATAGTGTGCAAAGTATTATACTATATAGTCTATAATAAAAATTACAACGTATAATATAGGTAACAATTATAATACAATTATGATTCATGACAAAAGAGTTGTAAAATTGTCTATTGTACATTAAACATACCATGATGAATATTTAAGTTTAAATTCTTATTTCAAACATCTTAATTTCCAGCGTAAAAATGTAAATCTTAAAACTGAAAACAAATTGTGTATCATAGTGTTAATTTATGTAGTATTTAAATACAACTTTCTAGATCTCTAGTGTGTTAAAAATAATAAGTAGATATATATAGTAATATATATATTAGAATAGTTGTATATTTGTATGCATATTCCTACGCAATTAGATTTTTTTTTAAATGTTTTGTTTGATAACATTCTAAGTATGGTAATATATATCTCATTGAGAGAAATTACTTGTATGAAATCAATTTTAAGTGATTAGACCATTATAAAACAACGTGATAAACTGTAATAATATTTAACTTTTTTTTGTTAGTTCTATAAAAAATAAGCAAATCAATTAGGTCGATTATATAATGGCACATATATATATTTTAATAAATATTTATTGAATAAAAAAAAAAAAAAAAAAAAACAGGAATAATATCAGTTCAAATGTCTTTAAAGCCTAAAGAGCTTCATAAATCATAATAGTTGTATTTTTGCCAATGCAATGAGATTTCGGAGAATTAATTGTTGTTTTTACAAAAAAAAACGAGTGACGAGTTCTATATTTTAAAATGTAATTATACGACATTTTATTCCTATAYTGGGCATTCACGTAGGTGAATAATTATTTATACACATAATAATTGTTCTATAGAACTTGACAGTTTACATTATAAAGGAAATAATATAACATAAGTAAACTAATTTGTCCTCATTATCGTGAATTAGTACTTTATATTTTATACTTCACAATACAAATTACATAAAATGAAGTCCATACATATATGACTATTTAGTATTTATTATTTATAATTATTATATTATACTACTTGGCCGGGTTAGCGATGTAATAATGTATTAAAGACATTTGATAAAGTGAACTGTAGAATAATAAATAATAACATGATCGAAATGCTTCGGAAGAGAGAAGTATGAAAAGAACCAAAAAAAAGAAACAAAAACAAAACAATAACAAACAACGATGTTTGAAAACGCACGTTGGGCAAGCCAAGGTCGGTTAGTGGTAGGTGTACGCAGAATAGTTTTTAGAGAGGTGCGTGAGACTGTGAGAGTCAGTTATAACCATTGGCGGTTTGCTGACACTTGTCGTTCGATCCCGTAACGGCARCAACTATAATATCAGTAGTTAATTAAAATATTATTGTTTATGACGTATAAACCTGAATAATAATTGTGTTTTAATAATAATATTCACCCGAAGAGAAAAAAATCACAAATATGAAATTAACTGCTTCGATATCGTTATGTTTCATCGCCCTGTTTGGRTCAAGTAAGTATTTTTTTATTTGTTCCTCCGTTCTATGTTAATTCACTGTTTTTTATGCCATCTTCCGCTGTGATTGTGAATTTTGCAAATCCGCAAACAAGGATTTAATTTTTAAACTAGATAGGCTGGTTTCGTTTCTACTTGCGTTTTAACCGCGGACATTGAYTATATGCTGTGCTCTAGACTTTCACCGAATCTGATATTACAACTACACAGCGGGAAGTATAAGTACTAGGTGCTTATATGTTTTATGTAACATACGCCATACAGCACCTACATAATACACTAAATTCACATCGTTAAAATATCCATCTGCTTATTTATGAGTCTGTGTCCTGAGACCAACAAATATTGTATAGGTATTATCAGTGGCGTCCGCAGAGGGAGGCTAACGGGCTGAAGCTCCCCCACATTGCCCCCATAAGTTTTACTTTAAAAAAAATGTATCAAACTTCAACTGTCGTCAGCTATAGTAAGCAAGACGAAAATTAATAAACGTCTTACCAGAATAAATTCATTTCTAAAAAAACATTGATTTGCATATCAATTTTCCTAAAAAAATTTGTAATTTTTTGGTAAAAGTATAAACTACTTGTATGAATGACCTGTATTGAATTTTCAAGCCTTAGCTATACAAATTTAATATWTCATAAATTTTAATCTACAATTAATTAATTTTTCTGGTTTTGTCAAAAATTGAACTATAAATGCCTATAAAAACTAATCGTGCCTATATGTGTCATTAATATTTTTAGATAATTAGGTATAGTAAAACCTTGTACTACATTTTAAAGCTTTTTGACCAAACGAATAATTTTTTATTGACATTTTTAGAAAAAAAAACCAAGGTTACTAAACAATTTTTCATTTATTTTTGTTTTCCCGATTGTTTTAAAAAATACTGAGAATTTTCAATTTTGACCTCTCAAATTTTAAACTAAATCCAATTTGCTTCCAAAAACCCCTATCGAGGTTTATGATTAGAGCATTTTTTCTACTAGAAAAGTTGAGAATTTGAAGTTGTACAAACATTTTCAAATACCTCACCTAAACGTCTACAATCATTAGAATGGACAAAATAAAAATAAAATAGTAATTAATTTTCAAGCCTCCCCCCCCCATTGAAAAATCCTACGTACGTCACTGGGTATTATACCTACGCACTTATATGTAAAACTGCAATGTGTAGTACAAGTTTATAGTCATTTAAAACATTAAAACAAATTGGGATGTATAATCTAAAGATTAAGTAAGTAAAGAAATTGCAGTCTGCAGATGATATTCCTATATCTACTAGGTAATAAATAATATTTAATTGTGTTGGGCTGTGTATTTGTATTCATTTTTTGTTTACAAATTATTTTTTTAAACGTAAAAGCATAAATATATTTTTATTTTTTGGGTTAGTAGTAGGGTAACTATCAAAATAAATCAAATTATGTTGTATTTTTTTTAACAAAATTTGAACACGAATATGATTTGTACTATTTGAAATACTGTAAGTGCATTCAAAACTGAATTTTTGAAAGTTTTATAGTGCATAAAATTCACAGATCTACTAGGTATAGTAAAACATCTGGTATACGGTAGTTGGTAGAAGTTATGATGTCTATATGTTATAATAGTAAACATACAACATATGTGTAGTGTACTATAATAGGTATACAGAACTTCAAACTAAATACATTCGTGACATCTAAATGAAGACTTTAATGAGCATATTTTTATTCATTTACCTACTTGAAAAAAAAATCATCAGTGAACCATGTCCCCCCTGGAAAATGAATTCCCACTAACACAATTTCACTGTTATAGCACCCGTGACGACAAGGACTTTCCGAAGGTTATGAAAATTTCAACGCTAATTATTACAATAATTATAAAAATGTTGTTATTGTTTGTTTCATTAATTTTTACGGTATTATTGACGTAAACTGGTAATATTATTACAGAATTTTATTTTTTATTTTTGTGGGAAATGTTATAATCTAAATATAGTTGTTGGTCAATTTGACGTGTTATTCAGTAATTCGACTAATGCGTAAAAAAAAATATAATTTAAAATTGTAAAAATTAGCAAGCCCTATTATGAAACGTAATGTGAGATATTTAAACAGTAGGTATATTATGTATACTTCTACAAAAATTACTTGAAAGGCTTCGGTAAACTGCGATCATTGTTAAAAAAAAGGTCGTATCGCAGTATTATACATATATGCYTAATATTATACCGTTGTATGCGAATATGAATGTCAAAACAACATCATTTAAATATATTAAAGTATAATAAGGATTAATGAATATTTTTTAGTAAAAAAAATTTATACAGAAATAAATAATTTTAATATTCGAACACAGATTAAATATAATAGGTACACCTAAACATAATGTTATGTTRTATTGTTATAACTGTTATAAGTTATAAAGCGGTAACATTTATCACGAATACACAATTATTGAAAAATRTAATACCTGATTTAGCTCGTTAATTCGAATGTAGTTTTTATGTGTATTTGCATACTATACACCAATAGACCAATATGCATAATTATATTACTGTATACCTACTATACCTAACTGTTTTTCCTTGAATCAAAAAAACAAAAATCATATACATTTGTAAATTGATACGATAGTATCAAAAACCATATCTTTAAACTAGCGTAGTATAACAGTAGTTTTATGTTATTTCTGTTATTGCATGGTATGTAAAACAAAAATTTTACCATTAATAAATTATWATTGAGTCTCGTTTATCTCAAATAAGGTAATTTTTGCACAAACAATTTCCGCTYCTATTCAATGATTGTCAATTGATTTGTATGATTTGTAAATAAAATAATATGACTTTTTGTTCAAGTTACTGGTATAGTATATTCTATAATATAGGGCATAGGCACTTTTAGTGTATATTTCAATATGTTTCGTAGTTTTTTAAATATAGCAATGMAATGTAAGTGAGGAGTATTTGGCCTTTAGATATTATAGAGATTCTATACTAAAGAAAATATTTTTACAAAAACCCTATACCCCCTTTGCCTCACCACGTATAAGATTTYTGGATACGCCACTGGGTCATGCTATAGTTGTGACTTGAGCAGCGGAAACGAAAATCGAGSTTTTTTGTCAGAAACAGTGTATAGTGCATACATCCATTTGAACATCGTTTTACGTTTACTGTAAATTTTAAAATAATTTACGATTACGATGTTTAAAATTTATATACGTTTTATGGGTTAGTTTTAATGTTTTATTTCATTTGTTTGACAAAGGGGTGGATGGGTGATATATTAAATATTTATCTATGCACATTAAAATAATTAAATTCCTCTGTTTCTTTTTATTGTAATGAAAATAAAATCAAAATGACTGTATGGTGCACATTAATAAAAAGTTATGTTAAAATTTAAAAAAAAAATAATGATTTTAGTTAGTCAATATCTGTAAAGGTATTGTCTAAAATATTAAATATATAGGTAATTATTTTTTAAGTACAAAGTAGGTATATTATTATTACCTGGAATTTAATACATTTTGCTACTATAAGAGGAATATTTATATGAATTATATATATCATATATATTGATTTATATACAAGCTTCGCTAATATAGCTGAACACATAGTTTGTTTATATTATATTGTTTTATAACGTGATGATAATGATGTATATCAATAACTATGGAAAGCACATTATGTATATTTCAATACATAAATATTAAATACATATACTATTAAAAGTAAAATTGTCATTAACGTAAATATTTTACATTTTGAATACACGTCACACGAGTTTATTAAAAAGAACCTGCAGTTTATACAACAATACAATTATTAAACAGTTATTTAATTT